CGTTTGCCCCCGAGGATAAATATACCCCCAGGGGTAAACAGATTTGCCCTTCCTCTTGACCTGGGGCAAATTTTGCCTCAATACCCCCAATGTACCGTTTACATTGACGAAATTTGCCCCACGGGGTATTTTGCCCCCAGGGGCAAACGGTGCATGTAAACGCGGCTTTAGTTAGTTAGTAGTTAGTAGTTCTCTCGTGTTTTACTTTAGTTAGTAAAACATATTTTCTTGTGTTTTACTTTTAGTTAGTAAAACATATTTTCTTGTGTTTTACTTTAGTTAGTAAAACATATTCTCTCGTGTTTTACTTTAGTTAGTAAAACATATTCTCTTGTGTTTTACTTTTAGTTAGTAAAACATATTTCACAAAAGGATTGGGCACATATTGCCTGAACGTAGACAGCCCTCTTCAGCATCTTTGCCACAGTTAACATATTAAATAAGGGAAAAGAAGAGAATTGAGAATTCAGAGAGAAACTTCTCTACATTAACATTCCTCCCTCAAACCTCTTAATCTTTGTAGATGTATTGACACACTCAAAGATATTTCCGTTGCAGTGATGAGTCAGTACCAGCATGAAATCAGTATTAACATGTATCTTTCAAATGTATGTATTCGTACCTTTCTTGAAAATTTAAGGAGATTCTGTGTACCACTAGCCTGGCCAAGAAATCGTATATTGGGAACGTGGGTTTGACTGAAATATTGTTTTACCAGCATTGTGATTGTCATGGCTGAAAGTCAATTAACGTTCAAAGTGACATTGTCAATTTATTAATGGTGAGGCTTTCTTCCTACATGAATACCGTGCCCTTGTGTGCTCGCGTATCTCAATATTGAATAATTCTGTCGTCATGAGCCATGATGAAAGAGCCCCCGTCGTATCAGATTGTACAGTGCACTGACTTGGGAACCTCCACTAAAAGACACCGATACCGTTAATATTGCATGTTGTGCCTCTACGTATACATCAAGCGAATGAGTGAGTGACCTGGGATTCAGTTATGTTAGTTTTGCGGACATAAGATGGTCGGAAAGTCCGAAATGACGGACACCACTGAGGAAAATAAACCAAATGTGGTTCTTTTGAACCAATGATTTAATCAGTGAGTATTAATGATTCGAACTCAACTGTTCCTTGCACAAAATGGCTAACCTTAACCACCGGACTACTAGTAATCGCGGTATGGTCTTGTGTACTAATGTATCCTAAATCTTGGTAAAGTGAACATTTTGAAGAAAGAAGACAAAGGGATACACACACACGCACACGCACACACACACACACACACACACACGCACGTCATATCGACACCATTGAGACTGGAATTTTACTTCATGCCTCTATCAGCATTATGTGTTAAAGGTAGGCATCGAGCCATACTAAGAGGACAAACGACCTAAAGTAACACGTGACCTGAAAATGTTACCACGGAATGCGCTTTTTACTGACTCAACAAACTGTTCATGAAATATACTTTGGCAACCAAACAATTAATAACCATGGTACTGTTTGTGTATGTGACAGGATGAATTGTTTGTATATATTTAGTGTTTTTATTCTTTAGTTTTAACTGAATTAAATATTCAATTTAGTGTATTTTAAACATTATATACTTCACTCGTCAGCTTCTCTTAAGCCCTCTCTCAGCTTACTGCATGACTTTTCTGCCTCGGCCACAGTCACCTAGAGCACTGCCACACAATAGCCTGCCCAAGCGCACCACTTACTGTCCCTTTGTCATAAACCTTGTAAGCTTACTGTCCCCTGTTTTAAGGTTTGAAGTTTAATATCAGTTCAGAACGTTTCAACTGTCAACTGGTCACAAGGCATTTGTGGATTTTGAATCTCACACGTTTTGAATTATTTGGACATTTATAGGAGCTCTTGAGATCATTTCTGAAGATGTAGGTGTATTGCTCGTGAAGCTGTCGGTGTGTACTGATTATACCCAGGTCCACACACTTGGTTTTTTTTACATGGAACTATCAGAAATAAAGGGCCATAATGCGAACACCACCGTGTCTGTTCTAATGATGAAACAGTTCCGGTTTCATGTACAAGCCATATATAAACTATTCGATCATTGGCGACCTCTACTGAAGTTGGCCACCCTGTCAAAGAGATATACAGATGGACAGACATTGCATAGAGGGCATAAATGTGATTGCAACGAATTATACGTGGTGTAGTACATGTCAACGTCCAATGGTAGAAGTCGCAACATATATTGATGTTAAAGTCACATTTCAGCATCTTGCATGTCCGGGTTATACAGAAATACTTTTCAGCGGAGAGTTAACCTCCTTGCATACTCATTATCGTTTTTCAAATCATTTACAAAACTTTCCTGGTGTCCTTAACAAGTTGTATCTCGCTAACAGAAGATTCACTCATTCGAATCAGGACCACACAAACCAATGATGGATATCATGAGCCCCGATCTTCGTATGTGGAAACTCATTCGCCCAATCGTTTCTGACTGATTTGCGATATGACTTGGTTATTGACATTACAAATAGTTAGACTAAGAGCATAAGGAATTATGCTTTAATTATAATATATTCTATACATAGTTTAGGACGATGAATTCGTTAGAATTCTGATATCTCCACATAGTTCGATGAGTCTGCTTCACATGTATTCTGAATGGGGTTTGAAATCTGGGAATGATTGACCGTATCATGCTACAAACTCAAAGCATTCCCGTACTTTTCCGGAAATTACATTTGAATGATCACAAGCAGTTTAAATATCCCATTCTCATTCTTCTCACAATTCAATAACAGTTTTTGTCAAAAGACATGCTCTTGCATGCTATCAGTAATTTGCAGTCGTGTGATCATTATTCAGAGATATTCGTTCAGAGAAACCACCCTGGACCGGGGGATCTCCGCTGTATTTCTCCACACTTGAAATATGAACTGTACGTCAAAGATGGTAATGTCCTTATATAAGTATCACGGATGCGTGCCAATATCTGACACCATGTACCCCTGGTTCTCATGCTCAGACCACAATACAAGAGAAACAGTACGCCACGGCGCTCTTATACCTCCCCTGCTATTGAAGGAATATTCATCACTACAGACAAGGAAAATCAAGATGACATTTCCCAACTATCGGGAACACATTTTTCCAGACCAATCACCATTGGAGGGATTTATATGCAAAAATAATGTCTACCAGGAAGAGGGAATCTTGAACTAATGTTCCTAGCACATTCATCGTTGGACGCGTGTTAGGAATGCGATCGTTTGTAATCTCATTAAATCGATCTGTTTGACGTCTTCAGGCAGCGATAGCAAGCTGTCTGTCCTGAGATATTAAAACGGGGCTAATCTCCTTTGTCCCTCACAACATGTAAATTCACAGCTAAGTTTTAGTGGTTTAATTACTAAGAAATGTCGTTAAAGCCTTTGATTGCTCCTCTTGAAATTAGTATTTCTCGCCTGGAAACACGCTTGGGATGTTGTAATAGCAGAACGTCGATTGCCTTTCTTGTGTTACAAGTTTTTACCGTCCTCGAACGTTTAAGATTCATTTATGTAATGTCGTAATTTGGTTAGTTTATGATGGTTGTCGTTGAAAAGCGCCATTGTGATAAACCCTGACATTCTCCCGTGGCTATCTGAGGAACCTTTGCAGACTCGGGCATACTTAATTTGACACAGAGAAAATGAAAGATAAAGGTAGCCACGTAATGTTGTGGTTATAATGAAGGTCTGCATGATTTATGGCTTTTCAGTAATGGTTATTCCTTGCGGTATGATATGCAAGCTATTACTGGTTACATTTGTTTTACATATCCAATTTCATTCAGTTTAATGTTCCTCATAATATCAGATTTGTGTTCTTCAGCACATGAAACCTTGTGAGATCCGATAGTGCATGTATTCAGGAAACGTGTTGATCTTTAATAATGCTTCCCTGTTCACTTCAAATGACCATTCTTGTCAGAACGTCGTAAAATGAAGTTTCATTCTTAATATTTTCGGCATGAAATATTGCAAAGAGATACATGTATGAAGAATTCATAATATAATTCCAAAAGTCTTCTCCACAGGTCGATATTGTTGATAAATATATTGCCACGTTCTGCACAAGGTCAGTTATACTATAACATCAGTCTTCATTGATACAGCTATTGAGAACCTTTCATCGCGATATAAAAACTGGACATATAGGAGTAGAGGGCATGACAGAACAGAAATAGTGACTTTACTCTTCATTTCTTCATGGTATAAACCTAGTTCCGTGTTTTACGGCATCCCCCTAGTGCCACTGATATTCTGATATTGCAGCCGTGAGTGAGAGTGCTGATTTTACGCAACTTGTAGCAATAATATACCACGAGTTTCTCGGCGGGTGTGGAGGAGATTGGGAGCGGAGTGGGGGTGGAGATGGGGGTATCAGAGTGAGTGAGTGATTCTTGCTTCACTTCGCATCAACAATATAGCAGCTATTAGCACCTAGTCCTTCTCAGCCCAGTAATACAACGAAACGGTATAATTTGTACAGATAAAACAATTCGTGATCATACTTCACACTGTGTCAATCATAACAAAAATAAATGATGATGTTGGTGATGGCGATTGTTTATTTACATCCTCAATCATCCTGTCATGTAACTTCCTTGCAGCTAACATTAATGCGTGTAGGAAACACCAGCGTATAAAATATCAGAACACAATATGTCTAACTTAGGTAACTTTTAAATAAATTAAGTGAAGTACGGCATACAAAATGTTCGATAACAACGGGCCGTTAGACAGGTCTGACATGTGCACACAATGAAAATACAGAGAAACAAAACGACCAGAGTCTATTGCTGCTGCAGACAGTCATACCGTGGACATATCAGACAGTTTAGGAGGCGCGCATCCAGGGGATATGTGAGTCACGACGGATCACCCTCTCACTCGAAAATCAATACGCCAAGACACTTCTTTATACTTTCTTTTCACCGTACTGCGCAGGTCCGGAAGTCAACGAGCTTCCGCTGTAACCACCGTAATAATCACTGGCAACTTGAAAACATCGTTTTAGTGGCTACAATAATGATAATTCAGTCCAGTTACAGGGTTTTAATGGACGCGAGCGCACTAATGGTGCTGGTATCGGCTTTTGAAGTTGCCTTGAGCGCCAAGTCTGGATTATCAAACAAAGCTAAGCTGAGTATTGGTGAGATTATGATTCACAGATTTTATTAATTGATTAGGTAATGTCTGCAATGGATGCACAGTTGTTAACGATGCTGGTTTGTTTGGTTATAGGAGTATAGGATATTTCCTGTGTATTTCTATCAGCATATATGTTTCACAAGGCCGTTGAATGTTATTTAATGGTTTCACACAACCAGCATATTTCATCACGTTTGCACTACTATGGCAGTTATTGGAAGTAAAGTAATAATATTTTTATTTGTAACCTCAAACAATGTGTATATCAGAGCACTTTGGATAAAGGTGTCAGGAGGGCTTGTGCTTATCACGCCGAATGCCCTTGGTCGATTAGTGTTTGGCGTCCTGGCCCTATGTCCCTCGCCGTGAAATGTCTAAATATATCTCTACCAAACGCACTGGCCAATTCATTTAGAGCATGAGTATGTGTTAATGAATCTCTATCAACTAACGGTGGCACCCGCTTCAAGCACATGCTTAAACATGCAATTGTTCACTGAACCACAAGCATGGTACAAGTCAAAGTCGTGAAGGACATCCGCATCGTTTTTCTGTCACTGACCAAAAGAGCGTGTTGTTTTGATATTTATTATATTCCTTGTGTCATCCAGGCGTGCTGCTTGACGTCCGATCTGTCCATCTTCGGCAACTGCTGGAGGCAAAGATGGGCGAAACGAAGGAGGAAAGCAGTCTCGTGTTTCAACCACACATCTCCACTGTCGACATCACCGACAGCTTTGCCGTCAGCAACGCCAGTGAGTAGAGGAAGCTGCTGTCATGCTGGTGTATACTGGATCGATATTGATCAACATACTTAGCATGATATTGTCACATGTGATGGGAGTCCTGAAGAAAGGCTACTGATGGAAACCTGTTAAAGCTCGACTTTTGTGGAGTTGGTCAAAGAATGAATAACAAACAAAACCCCGAAAATAACCCTCCTAATAATTCCTCTCTGGAGCAATAAAAAACAAACTAAACTTTCCCCCCCAAAAAGGAAAAAGAGAACAAATGCTCACGAACATCCCTTCATCCCCACCCTCACCAAAATCATATAACACCCTACAAAACAACACCCTCCAAAACAACACCCTCCAAAACAACACACTCCAAAACAACACACTCAAAAACAACACACTCCAAAACAACACACTCAAAACAACACACTCAAAAACAACACTCTCAAAACAACACACTCAAGAACAACATTTGTTTTGCAAAGTGTAAAAGGGAAGTATGAAGGAACATTAACGCGCAATAGACAACTCTACAGTTCAAAATGTAACCTTCAAATTGTTTTTCTGAAAAAAACCCGTCAAAAAAACTCTTTTGGTTTAAAGCTAAATTATTCGAGATTCTTCTTTATTCAGTGAAGTTGAATCTCGAAAAAAGGTATCTAAATGAATATCTAAAACAAACCAGGGCGCCTGATGAAGGTGAATAGCTTGGCAGTAATTCATTCATTCATTTCATTTCTTTATCTATTTTGATTCGACTTTGGGAAGAAACGGCAAAATAATGCCGAACTGTATTGTGTACAAGATAATTGCTTTGATACATAACTTAGTTATATTCATAGATCAGGAATAATAACTTGAACAAAGTCATAGTCTGTAATCAGTCATGAATACAGGACCCATTAGAATTGGTCTTCAGTAACCCATGCTTGTCGTAAGAGACGACTAACGGGATCGGGTGGTCAGGCTCACTGACTTGGTTGACACACGTCATCGTATCCCAAATACGTAGATCGATGCCCTCGCTGTTGATCACAGGATTGTCTGGTCCAGACTCGATTATTTACAGACCACCGCCATATAGCTGGAATATTGCTGAGTGTGGCGTTAAACAACAAACCAACCAACCAAGAATAAAGTTTCCTCACAAACTTTGAAACAATAACCTAAGAAAATAACCCGCCTCTATTACCCCGTAAAACAGATTCCATTGGGCGTGAAAGGCAAACCTGGGGTGAACAATGTGTTAAAGGATCGCTGAAAATCGTTGGTGACACCAGGTGTTCGCGACAAGTGTACAAGCAATGTCTAAAACAGATCCAGTCAGAGGTGAACGGAGGTTTCGATTATCGTATTATCCCCATTCGGCTTTTGTAGCCATGAACAAATCCCATGTCAGCTATCTCCAACCCATTAACTCAATAAACCTTTCAAACTTTTCTCCGCGCTCAGGGGTTTCTGCAAAATGGCAATTGTCTGAAATTCGTATTAGGTCGGGCTTTCCTCTCACTTAAACTGACACGCCTGGGATAACAGGAATACTTTTCAAAGTGTCGTTAAACCCAATTCATTTTAAGACCGTGTATCTCTGAGCCCATGGACAATCTTTATCAACACTGTTCTATATTTGCACTCCGTTTGACAACTAGCTTGAAAATGGCGTCGAGACTTCCAGATAGCCACGATCCATATAGAATATCGTAAAAATGACGTCGGTTGTAATTTACGGGTTAGGGTGTCCGGCTGCACGGATATTCGGAATATCGAGTATTTTGTTTACTTAAGTAAACGTACTCAGTAGCATTGACTGCTCATATTCAGATTGCATCTTAAAGTTACTTCCTATCCAGCACCGATGTATCATAATGTATTATTTTCTAATTTACCGAAGTGTTTATTCGTGATTGTGTCATTTCAATGGCACCTTAACATGTATTTAGCACCTCAACAACATCACCGGAATGTCCCATTATCATTTATATAGTATATTTTAAATAGCAGAATTCAAATATGTCATTCTAAAGTTATCCTGTAAAAATGTCATTTTAAAGTCAATTTTTCATGTACGTTAATGATGTGTACGTATGTACAGAGACCTTATGCACATACATGTACTTAGACCTATTCCAGATCGATGGGATCCAGGGCTGGGTGTTTAACATAACCGGTCACCGAGTTTTCTCCCTTTAGCTTTTCGAAGCAACTTTAGAACATGGGTGATATTCCCTGGACCGGGTGATCAGTTGTAACACTGATCATGTGGAAATTATAAAGAAAACTTGACTGAACTGAATTATGTTTATTCGTTATAAATTTCAGATGTAGATAAATTTTGTTTCGTGTAATTTCACGAACAAGTCTTTTATGTACTTTCAAGGCAACTTGAAGAATGGATTTGTATGTAGTAGTCAACATTGTTTCCATTTGTTATATTTTCTGTTTTGATGCTTCGTGTGTTTAAGTTTTACAACAGAGAAACAAATACAGTTTATGTATATAAGTAGGCATACCATGGTAAGGTTCGACCCATGGTAACTGAACGGCATAGACAGGATGGAAATGACTTCAAAAGTCACTGGTCAGTATAGGCGTCAAAACATGTGTCGCAACACACAAGTACATGTACATTTATAGTCATAGTAGAAAGTGTTCAAACCAGGACATAGTAGTTGATTGTGGTTCCTTGGCACATGTTTATGCATTGGTCGGAATCGGTGGACGGTGGTCTTACAGAAGAGGTTTATCAAAGTTATGGAGAGGTTCGTGACCTTCATTGATAAGGGTTTTCTTGTATACACAGTTAGATAATGCTTACTGTATGCCATTATGCCATGTGGTCCATATCAGTACAAGGTATACTTATCTAGTGTTGTTTTATCGATAGCAGCTATTACTTATGGTTATGGAAATAGTCTTGTCCCGCAGGTAGTTGGTGAAACTAAAGGCCTCAGTCATTTAAACTTCACTTGAATGTTTACCAATGCCGTGCAGCAAGTTCGAATCCGACATGGAATCATGATAAAATCACGTGAACAGTGTTATGATGAGACTTTAGGTGCAAATTGGCTATTTCAGTATTAAGTTGAGATTACGAATATAGTGACACATTGAATATTATGAAGATGAATAGATGATGCCGTTAGGTCCAGTTTAACATACGATATATTTGGGAAAACATATTCACAGACAATAAATCATTTTAGTACTAGTTCTAGAATTTGTACTTCAATAAAAAGTGTTAATATAAATATGATCATACAAACTACAACCACCACAACATCCCCTACAACCACTCATCATTCACCCCCTTCTACCACCACTAGTTCTACAACTACAACTACCTGGGTTTGGGTGTGTTAAGGTGTAGTGCCGTAATATGTCCTGCGTGGATGTGGAAATATTCAGACGTGATGATTTTCCAATACCACAACTGATCAAAGTGAAGGAGTTCTGATGAAAGTCAAATGTATGTATTCATCAAATTAGTGTTTGCTAAGCGAAGGGACCTATCTTCGACTGAATAGACGTGTTGTATGTACAAGGGTGCCGGAATACACATAATCATTTCTTGATGTGTCAGCTGTCATATGTATATATCAACTGTAGTTTATTACAAACGCAGCCAGGGAAGCGAATCACACGTCTGTGGATTATAACACATCTTTCTGTATTCATGAGTGAATATAAAACCGTAAAGATGAAACCGATTATTATGGGGTTCAGACGGAACAAAAAAGGAATTTGCACGAATGCAAACAAAAAGTAATCTTTGTCAATTTCCATAGTAAAATCTCCTATATTGGGACATCATTTGGTATTTTGGCCCAGACGCTGTGTATTGACACAGTACAAACTGTAATAACATTTAATACAGTGCAATCTACTGGATCCACGAACCTAGGAAAATCCATTACCAGAAATCGGGATTGGATCTATTGGTGCCGATCACACACATGTGTACAAGCTTGATGCTTTCCAATCAACGAGAAAAGCTCCATTTCGCCATATTTTCGAAATGTAATGACAACGACAGAATGATCAGTTCAGGGCAGAAATGGAAGCGTGTGGATATCATATTGGCCTGATGTTAATAGCAGGAACTGCACAGAAATCTCTGTGCCATTGGCCGTTTCACCCCTGGGTCTTGGTCTTCCATTTGAGTAAAGCACATGAAGAGACCTTTGCTCCAGGGGCTTGAGATAGCTTCCACTTCGGTGTCCATGACACCCATGAAATTTATTGCTTGTACAAGTTGCGCAAAGTTCTATCCTACGTGCCAAACGGGCGTTAAGGAGAGCATTTTTTCAAGTGTGGATAATATTTTCAATGGCTATTTTTTGCCATATAATTTCATCCCGTTCCAGGTTTGATCTCGAGGGTCATCTCGTATATCAATTCGCGTGTTCAAATCCTGTTTGAAACTTCTCATTCGTAAGATTTTGTAACAGCTACATTTTATTATGCATGCATACGGAAATGTTACTATGTATTGTCTGAATGTGTTCAATGCCATAAGGAGAAATACTTTAGTGCCGTACAATTTGATACAACCTATTCATAAGCTTGAAAAGGAAAATCTGTAATGTACATTTATTCTCTGATTGTGAGTTTGATATGAAGTTGACTTTCTTTGTCCTGAACTGAATATTCACACCACTGGATATAGTATCTTAGACACATTCTGGTCCGTGGACTCAGGAAATATATGATTAACATAAGATGCTTAAAAAAAAGGAAAAACGTAAGTAGTAAGTAATGAGTCATAATAGCATTGTCCTTAAATGTAAGAGTGGAAGCTGGGTCGTATTCATCTTCCACTGTTTCGATTGGTCCGTTTAGACGTTACACCTTTTCCGTGAACGACAAATTGGTATGCCACATACGTTTAGAACTGTTCAAAGTAACAATAAATAAGAAAACCCCTTTTTCATGATGCTGACTATATCAGAAGCATGTGCTTATGGAAGTGTTCCTACCAGGTGTATGTGATAGAGTGAGCTTATCCTACTCCGCCAGTCACATTCGTCTCACACACGTGCAACTATGAGAATAGTATTCCTCTGTGAAAGGACTGTATCACACAGAACAAGTCAGGATACTAGGGAATTGTAACCGTAATCAAAACGTTTGATTAAGATTCGCATGAAACTCTTTATAATCTTGGTAGATAATTGTTCCCGAACGAGGTGAAACAAAGCTGTTGGATTATGGTTCTACGTGAAATAAACTAGCTACTGGAAAATTGAAATCTTACCCCCTTTCATACGTTCTTGTAGATACATGTAGGTTGGTTAGTAACTAAATCTGTAGTATAGCTTTAAGTATGAAGCAGATGAGGCGCTTTCACTGAAGACACATTCTCGTGCGATTATATCGACTGGAGGACGCCGCAAATCGAAACACAAAAAAACGAAGACTCCGAATTGAGTCGGTAAATTTGTTTCAGTATCCATTGAATCAACTTCCGAAAAAAGGACCAATAAAGTTAAGGTTGACGATCGACCGTGTGGCTCATTCCCCGCTATAGGTAGAGATCTGGCGGAATCTGAAGTTGTTTGAGACTCATCTACTGACCTAGTCGATATAACGGAGATACAGTTATGAATATTGTAACAACTGATGCATTGTGGAAACATGCCTCTTAAAAACCAATCACTTTCATCTTCCAGGATGTGTATAGCCATGTCATGTTCTTTTGCCATATGAATTTGCTGTGTCATTATAAGGTTTTGTAGCAGGAACCGAATTCCCTGCTTCCTCGAGAGACATATATTTTGGAGTAGGACACATTGGAGCCCGAGATCCACAAAACATGATTGGACTGGGCATGTGAGTTAGTTTGCCAGGCAAGAGACGTTCGCAATATTTGTGTAGAGGTTCATCGTACGGAATTTCAATCTACAGTCGTCATACATGAATTTCATGGAATATTATATATCATTTTCAGACAGTTTATATGTGACTTCACTCTATTATTTACTATTTGATATGCCATGCATGCTTCCAAATTAGACCTGGATTTGTTTCTGAGTCGGTATAGAGACATATTATCGTGCTGCATCAAAGCAAGAATCACCTAACAGAAGCATCACACAGTATTTTAAGCTTTGTAAGAAGGCCCAGAATCCCTAGGTCAAGGGAAAAACAAAATCTGGAATGCATCTGACAATTCCACTGTCAATGTATGTTTTGGTAACCGTATACTCCTTCGTACTCTGTGAGAAATACGTGGTTTTGGTTTTCGATTCCAAATGTATCGTAACCTGATGAGATATCGGATGGAGACAGTGGATGAAAATATTGATACCACTCTGATTTGGAGTAATTTGACCAGACCTATATGTCGTCGTATCCGGACAAAGGTTCTCAGTTTATCATTCACTGTATTCATCCTATTCATGATATTTTCATGGTGAATTCTCAGACTTAATTATATTATATATTTTAGTGTGTGATCTAATAACAAAGGACGTCGTCGCGATCATCGGTGTGACCAACGCCTCATCACTGTCCACCATCCAGTCTTACAGCAACACCTTCAACATGCCCTTCGTGAGCATCGGATCAACACAGAACTTCACGACGACCCCAGGTTTCCAGTTGTTCGTCCGCCCGTCCTTCATGGGGGCGGTGGTCGATCTGCTTCACTACTATGGATGCAAGAAGGCCGTGTACATCTACGACTCCGATGAAGGCAGGTTGAACAATTGTCATACTGAGATTCGTAGTGAAATTGAATTACCGGAGCTATTTTAGAGAACCAGATATGCGTAATTGTCGATAACGTCGTTACCGTCATATAGACAACTTTGTGTGGGCTTGTGGACCATGTGTGCAAACAATATTTGTGTGATTGTGTTGGAGATTATCATATCTAATACTTGATCCAGTTGTCGACTGTTACCTTCAGTCAGGGTTCAGTCAATAATTGGCAGGAAAGTTTACTAAATCTAAAGCATTGTTCAGAATAATCGCAACAGTGACGTATCGCGTTCACTTTTAGTTTTGACCAGTAGAGAACACTCTCAAATGTCGCGAAATAACCAATGTGCATATTTGAGGGCACGATCGTATTGAACGGCAACACTCGTTTATCAGTTGGCTGTTAACAGGACTAATTTTCAGTGATTCATTCTTACATTTTCATAACGCACAACAGATAAGGGCAAACAATTATTCCCTGACCTTGACATTCAATATTTACTATTTGAAATATATTTTACCTATATTAATATGATTCCAGACAGGAATGTTTGTAGTAACAAGAGGTGAAGAATTGATCTCCACCATTAATATGTTTATCATACATACAGCTGTATTCCAAGAACATCGACACTCAATGACGCTGAAAAGCGTATGACGGTAATGTTTGATTAAAACGGAGTTACGTAGCCTATTATGGGTGAAAAGGAATCTTCTGCTTCCTTGTATTCCAAGTATAAATTGAACATATTAATTCTGTCGGAGTTCCCTTGTACCCCAGGTGAACTTGAACATAGTGAAATATAACTGGGTGGACTATCTAAAAAAACCCTGCTATTTACAATGGGAAAAGGGAGACACATGGTGAGTGGAAACTGTGAATCAACATCTCTTTCAGCATCATTTATCAGCAGAGTGAAAAAAGATATGTAACTACTGAGTGTATTTATTAACAAATGTTGAGGCTACGGTCATTATTAACGCTATGTGCACAAAAGGCAAAATAGCTGTGATATATACTCATGCCAATAATGGTTGTCACCCCCTTCAATTGTTTTTATTGGAGAGGGTGTGTGGGGTTGGGGTGGGGAGAGGGTGACAACCATTATTGGCATGAGTATATATTTTGATTATTGAAAATCAGTGACGACATCAGGTGTTGACAGCCAACTCAAAAATGTCATGTGGATATTTAATGTTGGATAATGCATTGAACTGACTTCCTTTTGCAGGTTTGATGCGGATCCAGGATCTGTTCCAATCCTTGAACACGAGGGACTTACTGATAGATCTAGATGTGAGGAGGATAAACTCACTCCCGGTCTCCAAAGACGTCATGGGTATTCCAGTTGGAGTTGACCATATGAGCAAAGGAGACACCACCCAGAAGATATTTTACATCATGGACTTTGAACAACTCGATGTCCTGGGCGTCATCCGCTATTTGGTAAGATATTATTTTTATTCAACTAGCGATTACCGGTACCGTATGTGTTATTCGTAGCGAGAGCACTTGCGCGTTTCAGCACGTGCATGCCCTTGGCTTTTTATTACAATAAATGCTAACATAAGGCTGGTGTGTGTTTGGGGGGTGATTGTGGAAGCAGGTTTTACGTGTAGACAGGCGTGCCTTGAACTCACTCAACGCACTGGTAATCACCTAGCTACTTACCTACCCACCTACCTACTTCATTTTTTCATCCATTCATATGTTTTGTTTGTGGGTCGGTGTATGTAATTAAGAAGACATGTGTAATTACAAACCTTTCACCGAGGTATCCGATTAGCATATCAAAGCTCCAGATGACATTCATGATAAATATCTCCATGACTTCAAAGTACGTATGTTAGACATAGAGAATTGGGACTATTTGATTTGAAGGTTAATCTGTTTATTATGAAAGGGCCTACTGGGCTTGACAGTAGCCTCAACAATAAACGTTGCTTTGATGACGTGTGTGAGATGCTATTTATGCATGTTACGGGTTATGCACGACTTCTATCCACTGTATAATGTTATTCTTGCAGAGGAAAGAACACATCATGTCTGGGATTGATCTGAATATTATAGCCGTTGCCTTGGTAAGGAAATGTCACATAAGTTATCTATCGGTAGTAGCAGTGTTTTAGTGAGTGAGTTTTAGTTTTACGCCGCGTTTAGCAATATTACAGCAATATCACGGCAGGTGACACCAGAAATGGGTTCACGCATTGTACCCATGTGGGGATTCGAAATCGGGTCTTTGACGTGATGAGCGAACGCTTTAACCACTGGGCTACCCCATCGCCTCTTTTGACGTGAAACTGAACCCCATGAGAATACCAGTACTATGTTTAATTCGTTAATGACGTTATCAATTTTTATATAACTATACTGTGAACATGTCATGCCATACTTTGACCTCCATGGGCGATTCTGTGGAATGTGTTTACGAAATATGTACAATGTGTGTATGTTGGTAGGAATTTCCCCATCATATTGTTGGACGTGTTGTAAAGGCAGTGTAAACACTTTAACTTTTATCCCCACTAACTTTCATCCTGATAGTACCCGTGAAGATCCGGGTTTGAATTGATCTTCAGAAAATATCCATGCTTGTAAGAGGCTAGTAACAGGATCGTGTGTTCAGACTCGCTGACTTGGTTGACACATGTCATCGTATCACAAATGCGTAGATCGATGCTCATGCTGTTGATCATTGTCTGGTCCAGACAATCCAGGCCGCCGCCATATAGCTGGAATATTGCTGGGTGCGGCGTAAAGCTAAACTCACTCACTGACTTTGATCCCATTAGGGTGTGGTCTGTTGTAGGATTTGGTACCAGTGTCGTCCTCCAACACAGACCTGTCATGTACCAACATATCGGGCTTCCAGCTGGTGTCGGACGGGTCAGGACGTCACGTGATAGGTCCTCATGATTCAGTAGTGATAGATCCCATGAAGGTGAGAATCTGCTGAACTACATTTTCTGACGATGACAATTGTTCTTAACAAAACCTGCAGTAATATGGTGTGAACGGTTGTTCTGAATGCTCATGGACTTAGGGGTCGACCGTGTATTTTCATATCACAGTGACGTGCTAACAGTGCCCTTAAGGTGTTCATAATATCAACCGCGGGTTTGTGTCTGTCCGACGCAGTTATTTGCGTATAGCCTCTATTTACCTGGAATGTTGATGAGTGTGGCGTTAAGCAACAGAAGAGAACCCAAAAGTAAACAGACAAGTACACTATTCATACTAGTAAAATGGAGATCATACACAAATTATCTCAATAATCTGAAGCCAGTGGCCATGCATTCATTAAAGTCCATGTTCTTAACAACTTTGCAATTAATTGCCTCCCATTTATAGTCATACTGAAACACTGGATTTGGGGTTTCGTCCTCAATATCCATATGGGCTTCTCAGACCAACTTCGCAGTTTCATGTGAGTGTTAAAATCTTAAACGGGATCACTTTAATGAAATACTGTTAAAAGAAGAGGTAAAACCAGCTCATATGTTTCAGGTATAGTTTGCGTTAAATCACATTTGTGATTATTCCTTGATCTTCTAGAGCACGGAAGCATTGTTGGTTGATGCTGTGGACGTTGTGAGGACGGCTGTAGAGGAGGTGGAGAGAGTCAATCCCGGCTGGTTGATGGAGAGAAGCAAACAATTAGACAGTCAAGTGAAGTGCACAAACTTTGTCGTGGACAAAACCACCCATGGGCAGACTCTTATGGAGCATCTGAGACAGGTTTGTATAGTTAGGATATGTTTCAAAACGAATGGCATGCCACAAGTAACTGATACAGAAACAAATAGTTATTAAAGAAAGTGATGGTTATCAAATAAATAAATAAATAAATAAATAAATAAATAAATAAATAAATAAATAAATAAATAAATAAATAAATAAATAAATAAATAAATAAATAAATAAATAAATAAATAAATAAAAATATAAATAAAATGAAACACTTTACTGTCATATAAGATACTACTGCATAATGACTACCACGAGAGGGAGGTACTTGAGTTAAACTTTTTTTTGAAATAGATTGTACTGGCTTTAGTGTTTTTACTTTTTTCCTCCTAGATGTATGAAGTATGATTTGAGAGTAAACCTTAATAAAAGGTTGGAACAGTTGACAATTTGAGAGAGGGGGCAACATCATTTGCTTTCGATTATGGAAGATTGCCTTCAATTGCCTGACCGTTTGGACCAATCTTGAATATTTCAAGCCAATAACTCCCGCTGGCTTCCATTAGATCAAATTTTCACACGAAGATATTCCACGTTCGATCTCCAGGAAAATTTTATTTCAGGATCAGAAAATGATTAACAGATTTGTACTTGATTTGTACTGACGTCAGAGTGTATTTTGAATGTTGATCTTTGGAAGATTGCGGCCTTCATGTAGAGTTTACTGCATCAGGCTTAGTAGGGTTTGTGTGGTGTAGTTATAGCCCAGCCACAGGACAGATAGATACATCAGATCTCTACACAACTCATAACACTGAACTACTCATCAATCTGCTCTACAGACTGCCTCATAAACCTTATTACTTTGATAAAAGTCAGTTCATGACAAGATATAAACGCAAAACATAAAAGTACTGCGAGCATCTAGTAAAGACAGAAATATTCTACTGACCCAAATAAAAATGTTTGATCGAAAAAGTCCCTTTACATTCCAGTGGCAATGGAAGGTAAATTTGCGCCTCATGATACGTGAAGTCTATTTCATTCACTATTTAAACAGCCATAATTCATAATCTAACGTTTTCCGACTCTCGCACGGGTTACACACTTTTGTCTTTGTCTCTACGTTTATCAGTTGGATTATTAATGAAGATTTATATAAGTCTTTGAACAGGTAACAGAAGAACACTTACGTCCCCAAGATATAAGCCCAATGTAATCTGTTCCATGTTTGAACGTACTTACAGGTTCAGTTTGATGGTCAGACTGGAAGAGTGACATTTGACGAAAACGGAAAAAGGAACAACTTTGCCTTGGAAATATTTGAATCTACTAGCGGTGAAGCAAACAAAAGGGTAATAAAATCAAATCCTTTCTCGCAACCTCTGCTCTTTCTACTGGAAGGGTATACAGGAAACCGGGTTGGTGGACAAAACGTCTGCAGATTCGGTCGTATTTTCTTTGTTTCTGTTAAGCTTGCCTGATGTTTAGATTGATGGGGACAACAAATGGTGGTCGGCTCGGAGTCAGTATGGTGTCTCTCGAGAGGGACATATAAACTGTTCTCGTCACGATATGGCTGAAATACTGCCGATGTGACGATAAATATTAACTCACTCACTCACTCGAGAGGGACAGCAATGGTAAACAACGGCTTGGTATGTAACTGGGCAAGCGCTATATGGCACCCCGCTCTTTTGGCAACACAGACCGATAGATGTTTGATTCTGGATGCTGGATACAGTGTCTTAGCAGTGTGCGAAATAGTTTCCAAATTTTGCTAGCCAGTCGGGCTAGTTATGCTTGAAAGTTACTAGCCTACAAAATAATTCACTACCCCAAAATTTGAATGTAGACACGGGTTTCATCATTAAGCTGCTGACATGATGAACATTTTTATCAGGCCATAATCTCGTATGATTTAAAAGTGTATTATAACTTTACAAGTCGGAGAGAGTGATAGATTTACAAAATGACCCAATGAAAATTCAGTAGCCTGTCGGGCCAGTGACTTGAGATTTACTGGCCCGACTGGATTTTACTAGCCACGGGCCATTGTGTCTTAGGTCTATTCCTGTGCTTTCATCGTTAGAGGCATGCAGTCGAAGACCCGATTTCGAATCCCAACATGGGTACAATGTGTGAAGCTCATTTCTGGTGTCCCCCGCCGTGATATTACTGGAATATTGCTAAAAGCGGCGTAAAACCAAACTCACTCACTCACTAATGTTACATGTTGACGTTTTCAGATCGGCAAATGGCACCCAGAACGAGGCTTACGAATGACCTCGAGCTGGAACATAGAGAAGACGGTCATTTTACTTATCAATAACACTCGTCCGGTACATTTTGTACAAAAATCGGAATAAAGGTTCAAACGTCAATTATCATGTTGTTTCATAATTCAAAGGAAACATCAGTTGGCTTCAAAAACGGTTCCCCACGAATTATCTAGGGACTGTTTTCATGATCGTTGTTCTGAGTCGCTGAGCTGTAATGGTAATTTGATAATGTCTCTCTCTCAATCAAAAACAATTTATTCGAAACAACTGGGAATAATGACAGAAAATGAATTTGATTGAAGTGAAGGCTAAAAGAATACTTGGTGCGCATGTTGTTGTGTAAGGCATCTCTGTAATCGCAATAGAAGATGAAGACTGGTGTCAGTTCGTGTTTCACTAGCGGCCCATTCGTATAATGCAGTTCGTATCGGGCGTGCCAGACACCTTTGATTGTGGTTCGATTCCAGGGTCGCTGTGAACCATACTTGAGCTGGTTCCACTTAAGCTGGTGAGTTTCACAGAAGATCCAAGACCCGTGCCACTTCGGGATTTCTTCCATGACAGTTGGTTGGTTTGTAGTTTAACGCCTCATTCAGCAATATTCCAGCTGTGTGGCGGCGATCTGTAAATAATCAAAGCTGTACCAGGCAATCCAGTGGTCAACAGCATGAGCATCGATCTACGCAACTGCGATTCGGTGTCCACGAAACGTCAGTTGAGCTTGGTGAAAAGTCAACCAGCGAACCTGACCACCCGATCCCGTTAGTCGCCTCTTACGACAAGCATGGGTTACTGAAGATCAATTCTAACCCGGATCTTCACGGGTTTCTTCAAGACTGGCCGTGTCATTACCGGAATACTATTCATTGCGGCGTGAGATCCAGCTCCTCCAAACGAGAAGTGAAATCTTAATATTCTTCAATAACTATGTATCTGTTTGTTTCAAGGGTTACAAAGTGTGAAACATCTTTGGGATTTGATCCTGCAGAGCTGACTTCATCTTTACTGATATAAAGATGAAGACATAAAACGTTCATGGCTCAACCTTGTCTCCCTATATCATTATAGCATAATCTTGGTTGCATCTGAGCTATACTAGGGTGCACCAAGCTACATAAAAATTGTCTGTAATGCTGACGACATCAATAAACATTTACACAACGTTATGTACATGATTTCCCTTGAAAATACACTTCTACATGTGTGATCGATTTGCCCTAAGTGTACGTCTGACTGAGTGAGTGAGTTGGGTTTTAAGCCGCTTTTAGCAATATTCCCGCACCACACAAAATGACTGTATTACCCAAATTTACTAACGTTAAGAAATATACGTTTCATCCGGCGGCCATATGAACAAACGTTTGAAATCTACGTATCATCTGGCTGTCAGATTTACACACGTTTAAAGGGGAGTTAAAATAAACGAACACTCAACTCTGTATTTACATGTATTTCACAGGTGTGTAAATCTGGCCATCGTTTTCATGTGTTTTCTAGCATGTGTAACATATGTAAATGCTGTGATTGTAGGACATGCATTTCAATACCTTTGAAATCTCGTATGACCAGGGTTAGGTTTGTCATATATTTAGTACACGCGTAAATGGTTGGTAATGGGTAAATATAGTGTTACAAGATTAATACTACTTTAACATGTATTTCAATGGTTCTGTAATGTAACTGTCACATCGGGTTCGTTAGCGCGTCGGACCACGCCATAATGCACGGAGATCATTAGAAACACATGGCGAAGTGATACCCATGACTGAGCACCACTATTAACGTGCCTGCCTTTCTTGACATACACATGATGTCTGCTTAAAAGGTTCAAATATTGGGTCTATGGGCCAGAGCGATATGTGTGCACGTGTGTGCACGTGTGTGCGTGCGTGTGAGAGGGAGAGGGTGTGGAATAGGGTAGGCCTAGGGTGGGGTGGTGGGGTGGTGGCGATGGGGTACAGATAAGCCTTTCTGATCAGTAGGTAATATCGTTTATACATTTTGCAATGTAAATTACATTATAGTTGAAATAAATGACCTTAGGTACACTTCTTATATATGACAAACAAGGAGAGACTGCTTATTGCAATAAAACACAGACAGGTGTGTTTACACAGACATGAACTGGTAGGTCCCCTAATTTAGTGCACACTTGTATGAGTTATCATACTCATGATCATAGCTATCTATACTTTCAAAAAAGATGATTACAATGTATTACTGATTCCCGATGTAAATTACTGTAACAGTTGTAAATGTGTTGATATGCACATACTTGGTATTAGAGCTGTGTTTCGTAGCCTAAGTGTGGAGACGTTATATCCTGATACCAGTTTAATGAGGCGAGACGATATATCATGACTGAGTGAGTGAGTGAGTTAAAGTTTATAGTCATAGTGGCAATATTCCAGCCATATCGTGACTTGAAATAGTTATAAATTCATTAAAACCTGTGTTACATTCACACACACACACACACACACACACACACTTAAAGAGCTGTTGATCTAATAAAATTTCAGCATTTCATGTTGAAGAAGGTTCAGTCAAACATGTGCAGCACGCCTCAAAATACATTTGAAACTGGGATGTTGTGTTTCTACACCAATTCTTTCACAAACAATTCGATGTAATTTATATCAGAATTCAGAATCACTGAAAAAAACTCTTAAGTCTGTTGTCTAAATTGTATCTTATCTTTGTTCTCTTTCTTAACAATGTTCATAGTCGTGAATAAATGGTGTTATTTGTCAAACAACTTAAACATATTTCCATTACTTGAAGACAAGTATAGTACAGTTCACAGTGTTTGAAACATGTTCACACTCTTTCACTTCTACACCAACTCCTTTGTTCATGTAACAGATACAACTTCCTATAAAGCTCAATTTGTTTTTAAATTTCAGAAGGATTTCAAAGAGACTCCCTTCCTATTCCTAATGCAATACTCCTTACAACTTTAAGTAGTACTTAAGTACTATCGGGATATATCGTCTCTTGTTGCGATACATCGATGTATCATGGACCCTCGCGATATTATCCTGATGTAATACCTAAATGTGTTTTCTATTGATGCATTCGTATGGCATAGCTGACTATGCAAACATCGATACTATCGATGAATTGTTACACCACTACTTGGGATGGCCTCGTTTTGATTCGGAATACAGATATTGTCCCATACGGACGTTTTCTCAAATTTCAGTTACCCGACGGAATATACTGTACACCTATTTTGATTCCATCTCTGGGGTAGACTATAGAAAACTCTAGTGACTGCATAAAGTTAGATAACAAAGCAGTTTCTGTAATTATTGAAAGCTTACTACCTGACATCATTTATGTTGCTCATGCGTTTTTAATTTTTGCTTTTTGCTGTCTGATTTGTTATACATTATATAATAATGTTAATCATTTTGGCATCCCAATATCTTGGAATATAATGTAAACTTATTAATGTATCAAAGTACCTAAACGTATTATCTGTATGCTTTACTGTTATTGGGTGAAACTGTTAAATGTACCTCCGTACAAAATTTCCAGAAAATAATAGAACTGAAAACTGCTAAATAAATGGAAAATAAAACTGGGTAAAGATTGCAAACAGTTATTATTTATATACATGTTTTAAATTATCAGTGTGCAGATCATGTCACAAACATAAAAACTGAAGGATGGGTGTGGAAAGAGTCGGGGAAACACATGCAAAGTCTCTGAGTCAACTGAGATTATCTTTAAAAATACATCATATGTACATTTAACAATCACTAATCATTAAGTGCAACCAAAGCATTACAAAAACGCTATATTTCCAGACAGCATAACATCACCTTTGGCCGGAGTTCCAAAGTGATCCGAAAAGGTTAACTCAAAGGAAATAACCCTTGTGATTTACAATGATGTTAATCATAGTCACAATGAAATATAGGTTGCCATGTGTTTTCCAATATGATTAAGTCAAGTGAAATGCTAATATTTACCAAACAAAATTCTAGAGGAGCCTTTCTTCAAGCAGTGACGTAAAGCCATACCTAGCTAGACTTGCTTAGATTATAGACTTCATATAAGGCATCATAGATATTTCAATTAACATGGTACAAGACCCTTAGCCTCATTAGCGTATTGCCTCACCACTTGCAAATTAAGCGTTGGCAGATGTAAATGTTACTGAAGATGTTGGTCCCCGCCAGCCATGGATGTTTGGTATGTTTACTCTGTAACCCGAACCCTGCAGTGAGTTTTCCTGCAGATTATAACAAACGCTGAACCTGGGAATATCTAGATATGCTTCATTGAGGGCGTAAGCATTACAGTAAGGGCTGGGCGGAAGGGGTAATAATATCGTTCTGTGACTATGATACAGCAGAGACCATATAATAGACTATTATATGGTCTCTGGATACAGATTGGGACAAGATATGGAAAACAAAATATTTTGACAACAGACCATTGTTTGGGTCTTTTAATTGCAAATATGATTCAAATAGCTTAACCTAGATTTAGATATCCTTTGAATGTACATTTGGTTGAAACTGGAAAGTATACATTTATAAGAACGAATGTTTACTTATAATTCAAAAGTATAACAGCACCAGTATCCAATTTGTCTTTTGTCTTCTACCCGTCTCAACATACGCTCAATCACATATGTCTCCAGGTCACGGAGAATCAACGGTTTAGGGGCCCGTATTGCAATTCCCTTGCGTTTCCATGAGTTGTTGACGCGGCATGCTCGCCTTGTAACATCACCATTTGATTATGATTCACAAACACATGCTCATGATATGGTTGGAATCGTGCCACGGATTAGCAGCTGTTCATCATGAAGGTTTTTATGTAGGTGGCTTGAAACTCGCTTTTACAAAGGCCTATAGGTTCGATCACATTAATATTCGTTTTACAGCTTCTTTTCTCTTAACATGCTCACGTCAAAACTGATTTAAATTGCGATCGCAGATAAAAGAATAAGACATGAAATAGTATACCAAATTATCGTTACAATGACAACCCTGTGATATTTCACCTTATGTAAGAGAGTAATAAATACGATACTAGGTATGGCAGTACTACTGCAGATGACAGTGTGTGTCGTAAATTTCTTT